GTGTGTGTATGTGTGTGTGTATCTATCTGTAATGATTCCTTCTGCTGCTGCAGCTGATGGAGGTACCTCTAGGCTCTTGTGTGGTGGTCCTAATGGGCAGGCAGGTGCCTCAGCTCTTGGTGGCTGGGACTGAAGCCTCAGTATCAGGCTATCCACACCCAGTACCACCACTAACACTGCCTACAGCCATGCTGACCCATTGCAGTGCCTCAATTAGCCAAGACCAGCAGAGCTGTCACTTCCCCTGTTGCTCCTGTCCACTGCTGTACCGTATGTGTGTCATGCCATGGAGGTTTCAGTTTATTGCATGTGCCATCCTATCTGTTGGAGGAGCAGGAGTGAAAGAAGGGAGGGGGTGAGGGCGGGGTGGGGTTTTTGAGGACGGGAGCTGTCCCCGAAGGCTGTGCTCCAGCGGATCAATAATTGACTGGTTGGTTGTTTGGCAGGAAGCTCTTCAGAAGATCCGTCAGAAGAACACTATGCGCCGTGAGGTGACAGTGGAGCTCAGCAGTCAGGGCTTCTGGAAGACTGGCATCCGCTCCGACGTCTGTCAGGTAACACCCGTCAACTGAATGCATGCACGAACACTGACACACGCATACATTCTGCAGTACATACTCATGGATCTATCGCGTAAATGCAGACAGCACATTCAGATGTTCGTACAGAGCTGCATGCACAAACTGTTTGATGTTTACATAATCAAACTTACCGTATATCTTACAAAGTGCTAAAAATGAAAGAGATTCATACAGTCATTAAAAATGAATACAATGCAGAGACTGAACAGAAGCAAGAACACACTGTAATAGTAGTTTTGACCAATAGAAGTAATAGATCAGGGTCTTTTTGTTTTATAAAAGTAGGTTTTGTGGAGTCATACAGATTGGGTAAGAAAGCAATTAAGAATAATTTTCAGTTAGACATTCAATGTTTTATCACAAGTTACCACAGTGCCAAAACAGCATCTTCATATTCCTTTTATTTTGTCTGACCAACAGTTCAAATCATACAAATATTCAACTTACAATGGTATAAAACAAGGAAGGAGCAAATCTTCACATTCAAGAAGCTGAAATCCTCACTTTTCTTTTTGATAAATTACTAAAAACGATGAATTAATGATCAAATAAGTGCTTTGGGTAGACTGTTACAGACCTCACCTATTTACACCATCCGTACTTTTGCACAGCTGAATCTGGTTGTCAATACAATATTAAAGTCAAACTAAAACTGACAAAGTGCAGGGGAAGCTAAATACTGTGCTTTGGGTATATTTAATGGACAGTTCTGCCTCATTACAACTGATAGGTAATAATAGCAATGCACTTGACAGGTTAAATGCGAACAGTAAAATGAATCCATCTCAACCATCAGTTTATAAACTTCTCGGTTCAACTTGGAGCTAATGATCTACTGTACACATTACTGAAAATGTAGGTTTTGATTTTCCTTCCAAATATAGGTTTATATTGTCTTGTTAAACTGTTGGCTCAAGTGCATCCTGTCTGTTAACAAGGTGACTACAGTAACCGATAGAAATGATGGCCAGAACTATGAAAAAATAAGACCCAATTTGTAATACACCACAACTAGATGGACACAGACCAGTGCTCATAGCACAGCCACGGTCAAAAGCTTGGCTTCTGATCTTTCCACACATTGCGTCACTTCTCCATTCAAGTGTCAAAATCCAAGTAAGAAAAGTGGACTCCCACAGAGCCTCAGCAACCATACCCTTCATTAAGTAATGTCTCAGACCTGACATTTTATTTATGTACAACTTCACCACCACTCAGTATGGCAAGAGTGTGTGTATCGTTATCTCCCTTCGTGCACACGTTAGCAGCAAAATAAACCAGCATGGAATTATATCTCCACATGGTCTGTACGTTCTCTCGATCCAGAGAAATGGGACAACGTGCAGTGCAGGCCTGTGCATACAGTTTAGCATAGGCGGCTCTAATGAGACTTGAACCATAACTCTGAATGTGTTAGTGCCATGCTGTACCCGTGAAAAAACATACAGAACTGCATTTGTTCATAGGTTTGTCAGTGAAATGGACTACTATGCCTTATTTTATAATTCTTCTATTTATTGTCTATTCCAATATTTTCTGCCTGTTGCTCCGAAAATAATTGCCATCAGCTTTGCACATCTTCTCTGAACACATCTGTGTGCAGTGAAGATCAGCCTACAGCTGATACTCACGCTCACATTTGGAGAGGAATGACAGAAAGTTCTAGCCTCGCAAACCAGACCTCTCTTACAGCAAGGTCTAGCAAAGAAGGATCCGATCCATAATTGCTGCCCAATTATATTTGCTTCAAGCTGTACTGCTACGACTAATTGGTTCATGAATAATTTCAGTTCGAACTGCGGCGGTACACTCTGCACAACGTGTGACACAGACGAGAGATAACGGCAAAACTGACCCATAGTTACTTGATTCTAAAAGCAGACGCTCTATTCAGAACAGAATCAACCTCCTCATTACTGACATTGCTCGGCTACACCAAGGTTGTTTCACTTGAAAGGCTCTGTCAAGGACCAGGCTACACATTGGAGGCAGGGATGAGATTTATTTATTAATCAGTTTGTTTTTTATTTATTTTTTATTTTTTTAAGTTTGTGTGTTTTTGTGTTCCTGCTTTGACTTCATGCCTTTTTGCGTCCCTGATCACATCCATGTGAAGGCTATCAGTCGGTCAAAAACATTTCAAGGGAAAGGCAGCTTGTTTCTCCTTCTCCAACAGAGAAACTAAGTGCAGGTGGATCTTTATTCTGTGCCACTGTATGCTGCATTCATTTGTTTATCACATCACATACTATATACATTAATCCGCATGCTAATAAATCACGTAATCAAGTCCAAGCATGCAGGAATACAACTGTCTACATTTGTATTGGTGGCCGAAGGGTAGGGAGTAGCTTAAATCTGCTGCACATGTTGCTTTAATACTTGGCATTGCTGAATATATGTTGCCTAATAAAATCTCTTAAAATAAGTTGGAACAGAGCACTGTGAGCCTTTAGCTTTACAATAACGTCTGTGTTACACAAGACACAGCGTACAGCAGTATCAATGTTCAGTTCTGTTTATTATTTACTCCCTAAGAAACAAATGGATGTGATTAAACGGAAAAAACAAGTTGAGATAACATTTCATGACATTCCAGTTAATAAAACGATGGTATAGTGAGTTAAAGTGCAATTTAAAATTCATAGTTGTAATATTCCAGCCAGGGGAAAAGGAAATTCAGGCCGCTGGTCCAGTTGGATGGTGTCCAAAATGCCCAAACGTCATCCGTGACAGTAAATTAGAAAATTTCCCACCTTTTAATTACCCGAGTATCAACTCTAACAAGCCCCCCACACCCCGCCTTTCTACACACACATATACTCAGTCACTCCGGCAGTCATCAGAACAGGTCAGGAGCTGTAGACACGACCAGGGCCTGGCTTTGTTAATTGGCTGCTTAACAAGGCCTGGGGAGTGTGTCACCGCGGCCCCTGTGATGGCCCCAGGGCTACGTGGCAGCATTGCTTGTAGCCGCCGGGCCTCGGGCTCACCCTCCCCAGTAGCACTAATTAAAACATGCATGGCTCCCTCCTCTCTCATGTGGTGGCACGAGGTTAATGTGTATACACCAGCCTTTGCTACAGTTTCTCAGCCACTCCGACTGGCCGACTTGATAGGCCTCCACTAATGATTCTGTAGATGGGCTCTCTGACTGTGACTCATTTGCTGACCGCTGACTGTTTCTTCTTTTGCTTTTATTCTCACTTTCCGTGTCACCTTCCCCTGCTGATGTGCACACCCGCTTCACTCACAACTCATCCACCCCCCCCCCCCCCCGCTTCTCACTTTCCTTTCACTTTCTTTTCACTTTTTTGCACTCAAACTTTTTCTTTTATTATATGAGGGTCAGAGGGGAGGCTGTCAGTGTTTGTCCGAATGTAAGTGTGTCAACATGTCGAAATGGGCTTCGATTTGACTGTCCTGTCCAAATGTGAATTTCCCTCCTCTCTGTCATTCCCTCTCACAGTGCAGCGATTGGGTTTTTGATTATTTCATCTCTCTGTTGCAGAGCACCACTTAATAAATAATGACTGGCTGATTGATTTCTCCCTCCCTGTTCCCTCTATCAACCCTCTCCATTTCTTTCTCGCAATCTCTTCATCACACTTTCTCTCAAAACACACTCCCCTCACTCTTCTTTCATATACGCCATGATCCTTATTCTCTATCTCTTTCCGTTTCTTTCCATTTCCAATATTTTTTCCCTCTGCTGAACTTCCCTCGTGCCCTTTTTGCCAATTCTCTCTGTCCTCCACAGCACGCCATGATGCTCCCCGTTCTCACCCATCACATCCGATACCACCAGTGTCTGATGCACCTGGATAAGCTCATTGGCTACGTCTTCAAGGAGCGCTGCCTCCTTCAGGTAAGCCACAGTCATGACAGCTGCTTACTTACAAAGTGATGCGACTCTGTGCCCCAACGCAAGCTGCATTATTTAAAGGCTGACATAGTTGATAACTAAAAAGATGGATAAGCGTAGGCAAATCCCTGCGGTTCTTTTAGGCAGGGCGCAGTCTACAGCTGGTTAGATATCCAGATAAAAAAAGTAAACATTTTGTGCGGGGGCTTCTTGTGTGCAGAGATCGAGGGAGGCAGCGTTTGCCTCATTATTGTGCCCATTCCACCTCTGCAGGGATAGTTCAGGTGGAAACAGGGGCTGAGGAGTCAGCTAAGGTAACCCACACACACCGGCCTGAGTCATATCTCTGCATCGAGGGTCTACTGTGAGTTGCAGTGACAGTAGACAGGACAACAACCGCCTCCTCCGTAATGCCAGCTCTCCCCTGTCAGGTCTGCAGCCTCAAGCTGTGTGCTCTCGGAGTAAGCCCTACGGCTGCCTCCAGCAATATTGAAGAGCTGTCATAACCTGATACATTAGAAATCAATGTGTTGTAGCCTATTCATAGTTAAAGAGGGGAAGGATGCATTAAGATTCGCTCAAGGCTGTGTGTGTGTGTGTGTGTGTCTGTGTGCATGACTGCTCAGTGCCCTGGGTGTGTTTATGTGTGGGGATTTGCACATATGGATCAATGATTGGCCTTCTTGTCGTTTGTATAATGACGACCTGTCATTATGAGCGCTAAAAAGGAAACTCTGACCTGCTGCGAGGCCAGCCGCCAGCCGACAAGCTGCAGCCCCTTTCATCGAGGAGACGCCCATTTGAGCTTGACATCTAAGTCTCTTGGGGAGAAGTTAATGGGATTGTCCCGCCCTCTTCTCCTCATTCAGTTCCTTCATCTTCCAAAAAAAGGACAAGTAAACAAAAGAAAAACAATCAGTGTGATCGTAACAGCTCACATACATGCCTGTGTGCAGTGTGTGTTGCTTGTCTGTCTGCCTTGCAATTCTGTCCACTGAGGTGTTAATACCATGACATCGCCGTTTGTGTGTGTGTGTGTGTGGTGTGTGTACAAAGCCAGGGCTGTCAGCAGTTCACCGCTACTGGGACTGAAATGGCCCAAGTAGGGAGCCATCATTGCTGGGCTTACAGCACCTTCCTCATCCACTGCATACACACATCAGCGGCTAATGTCCCACAACACACACACTTTGTGCCCAGATAGGTTTGGACAGAACAGCTGCAGGAGTGCAATGGTGCTTGTTCAAACAGCCCTATCGGAGTCAAAACTGATTTCAAGTCTGCCATCACCTCCCATTTACCTCCACTCTGATGGGATGATCACATTTAATGAGCTGAATGTTTTCCAGTAGCAGTCAATTTCTAACATGAGAGAACCTGGTGCACTCTTTGATTGCATTATAAATGAATTGTGCTTCGACACGAGGCTTGTGTGCTTTGAATTACTTCATCTGCAGCTGTATATAATGTGTTGGTTTATTTATTTTTTTTTTCAAACCACTAACTGTAATACTCGACTGAAAATCCATCTTTTGAGTATGTCTATCCTAAGTGGCTGTGAAAAGTTACTTTGCCAATAAATTGCTTAATATGCTATTTGTGGTAGCACTTCGGAGCTGGTGATAGTGCGGCACTAAAGTAATATGTTTAGCTAGCGAGAGAGGTAATTACAGTTTTGAACATCTGGATCAATGGCTTATGTTTAGGGATGGTGGTTTTTTTTTTTTATTATGAAAATAATAAGATGATTTTACACTTTTAATTCCTGGCAAAACATCAAACAAAAATCAGGCAATCCTGTACTTAAAATGTATCAAATGATGATAGTAATCAAACACAATAATATATAATAATCTCAAGTTTTGGAGCTATTTTGACATTGATATATTGACATTTTGAATACACAAAAGTGGTAATGGTTCCTTCGCCGTTCCCGAAGATTTTGACGGGAATACGATTGAATCTGACTCGAGGGCAGGCTTTATGAATAACTAGAAAGAAATAGCCAATCTTCTCACTGAAAATCGTAAGCACAAAGGATGAACTACGATAGCCATGAAACGCGTGAAAAATGAGAACCCCTATCAAGAGCCAGTGTTTGATTTGTCCCTTCTGGGCTACCGTAAAAACATGGCATTCTCAATGGAAGGTCTGTGCTGTCTGTAAATATAAAATTATCATTCTAAGGGAACAAAAACAACGATTCCTATACTCAGGGGTTAATACACTAATGAAAACATACCTATGCACATTATAGCCCATTTCTGTAAATGGATCCTCCTGAGCGTTACACACCGGACCATATCATTTCCTTTCAGTGCGCCTAAAGAAGTATTTCTGGAGAAGAACAGGACTTTGGCAGTCATTCTTGGTTCGGGACGGATCAATCGGTATTTCAGAATGGGAATTTGTGTTCTAGCTATGAAGTGTAATGAGCTGTACACCCATTAAAGGAATGAGAATTTATCTTCCTTTTTTCATATTTTCCTTAGAAGAGATGAAAGCAGCTGCTGATCATCTGGGAAACCAGAGAGTTGGGTGGGTCTGTACAGAATCAATGCTTGTTTCCAGCTCATTCTCTGTAATGTTTTAATGAAAGCATATCTGTGCATCAAAATTGTAAGAAGAGCATATGTCAATGTGTAATCACTATACAATAAAGCCATGGGATTATTTGATTCTCCGCGCAGCAACACACCTGTTATTGCAGTACAGAATGGCAATGTGATTCCTGCATGAGGCAACTGACAAAAACCAAGCCTTAGAGCGGGAGCCTCTGCATTCAGCACTTCCCCCTGCCTGGCTTCAGTGTAGCCACGGCCCTTTGAAGCTCCTCTTCTGAGAGCTTCCCCGTTAAACATTTAACATTTAAAACTTAGGGGGGGGTGGGGTGAGGCGGGTTGTGGTGGGGTGAGGTTGGAGAGACATGTGTTCTTGGTCGCCACATGCTCCTGCATCCCCACATCCACCAGACCCTCATAATCCTCCCCCGCCCCCTGTTGCTTCATCCCCATTCCTCACTTTTGACCCATGCTGACAGAATGAGAGGCATCACAGAGGATCTCAATAATTTAAATGTACAAGTCCTCGGCCCCGGCTCTGATATCGCATGCTTTTGTTTGTGTGCCCCCGCGAACGCTGCTGCGACTCTGTGTACAGGGTATTTTATTTGTTTTGTTATTCATGGCGATGCATGCCCAGCCTTGTGATTGAGGTGTCCATCTGTTTCAAGTAGGGCAGGCCTGAATACCATTTTACGGGCTTAGAATATTTGCTCGTATTTCTGAACAAATATTTGAATATTCCTTGTTACAAATGAAAAATATGTGTTCAGTGTTTCATATTATGTGATAATGATGGGCATAGCCTGTTTGGAGAATGTGTTGTGATGCAGGCACCGACCTAACGCTGACCTTTGGCTAAAACCAAAACCACAGCTTTACTTTTTATTATAACATGACCCAAGGGGTTTTACTGGTTGATAGCACTACAGCAACACCAGATGGATATACTTTATGAGGTTTTGCCATATCATGCTTACATTATATGATGTTTACATTCTTTTTGTGATGAGCGACGGTGGAAAGGTTCACCCTGACTCAGCACTGAGAATACTGCCATGCAGTGGCTGTGTTTACGGTCTTTTATTCACTGTGCTAGGGAGCAGTGATCACAGCAAGTAGACCGTTTTTAGTTAGATGGCTTTTCTGGATGTTTATTATTGAAAAAGTTAAGATTAGTGAGACTTTCTTCAACTTGCTTCATCTTATCTTATCAGTATCCACTGCCATCAAAAAGGTCTTGGAGAAAACACAGTGTCTTTGGAAAAACAACAGTATCTCTATCACTCCAGCTCCGAGCTAGCTTCACAGCTTAGGCTACACTAACACCTTAACTCAACTATTAATCCACTTTATCAGTCTGTCCATTATGATTAAGTAAATAAAACAAAATCTCTAAAATGTTGTGTCTGTAATAGGCCAGGGCAATATTCAATAGCCATATGCATCTACGATAGACACTTCATTAATAGCAATAATAATAAATACAAACCACAAGCCATGAAAGCACATAACGAATATGCCCTTGCTCATAAGAAGCCTATCATATTCCATGGAGTACGCAACACGTCCACAGGCAGTCCACGATGAAGAGGTACTCAGCAACAGTACTGTAAAAATTTGAATTAATACCTCACATTACCTTACATTTTATCATGATCCATTTTTCAGCTGTAATGCCCAGCCCTGATCTGTAATAATGCTAAAAGTCTCTTGGAACATTAGCCCAGTTAGCCAACCATCATACGCACAGAGATAAAATCTTCAAACCGCAGACCCGCCGACAGAGCACACTATAAATCAACCACAGTGGCAAACAACTGCAGCAATTAAACTGATAAAACTGACTCACCACTGTCTTATTTTGAAAAGAACATTATGACAAAAATAGCTAAATCAAGCTAACTCAAAGGACTAAAAATACAAATCTAAACTTCGTTTTCCATATTTTACTCTCAGTTGTCTAAGTCAATCTGACATTTTTTGCGATCCAAATACCAATGTGCTAGATGGATAGATGGATGGATAGA